TCATTAGTGGTTTTTTTCTTTTTTATCTCGCTATGAAATACAACAACAGAGAGATTTTGAAACCACAAAATCGATGTACGTGATTTTCGATTTGAGCCCTCGCTCTCGCCCTCGTAAATATTGCGTTAATATGCCCGTGGAGCATGCAAGCAAAGTGGCCGTAGCCTTTATTGAAGGCGCATTATCACGCTGCAGTGCGCACTCCTTACTCCAGACCAGAGATGGAAGCATAGAGATACTTTTGACTTTTGAAGAATCACTTTAATACAAGTCTTTTGTGTAACAAACGTTAAAACAGTGATGGATTTTAAGAAATATGGGCAAACTGAGAGGGAAATAGGAAATTAAGAATAAAATATGCATTTTATTTCCTCGTATTTGCTGCGTTTGGGAAAAGATCGACGGTGAAAAAACAAAATCATGTACTTCGATTTACGACGTTGCAAACCTCCTGCCTCATTTTATTTGATCGTTCGTGCGCAACATTTTGTTTGATTTCTCAGCATACTCTGAAAATGCCATGAGTATATTTCTTTAAATCGCAAAACAAGTAAAATTAATTGGACTAAAATTTATAATAAATCTGTATATTTACAATATTAGTATTACCTATTGACATTGACTTTCTACAGGTGAAATTTGATAATATTCTACTTAATATTCGAAATATCTATAATTATCGTGTTAAGAGTTATTATAACATAAGGATACCGCAACCAGTAGAGTAGAAGCTGCGTTATTTAGAGTTATAATAACAGTTTTAACCTTTTTACCATTCATTATTAGTATAATATATAACAGAAACCATTTAAATTTCTGAAACATCCAATATATAGGAGTAAATAAATGAGAATACATAAGATTAATGCTTGTTTTTATAATAAAAATACCCACGATATTTTTGCATACATGACTACCTAAAGTTCACGTAGAATCACCAGTTCAATGATCAATCATGAAATTTTAATTAACATTTTTTTTTTCATTCGTGTTTTGTTGAACGCAATGAAGCCATCATTTCCACCCAGCCCTCACAGTCACAGTACCTGCGATTAGCTGTATCCCGATAATACGCACTGTTTGGTCTGCACGCTCTCGTTGCTATGGCAACTAGAAAGACTCCGCTGCTGCGTTGCGCCGTGCTGAAAACACGCAATTTCGGCCGCATTACTTAACCTGCGATGGTGGTGTAATGGTCAGCATAGTTGCCTTCCAAGCAGTTGATCCGGGTTCGATTCCCGGCCATCGCACTAAGTTTTTTAATATCGCACTAATTGTTACTTTTTTCCCTCCTGTTTTCTGCTTGCATCTTGAAACATCCAAATCGATTCTCCGAATCCGAGATGTGCGAAAAAACAATTTATTCTTTACTTGAGTCCAGAAATCTACCATCTAGGACCCGTTGTAGTCGAGTATCATTAGAAAGAGACCCTTTCTCACGATCTTTTGCTATCATTGAACGTGAAATTGGTTTTTTTTACCCCTCATTTTCTCCAATGGATGCAAAGCTTTCATACCCTAATTGCCCTACCTCAGAGCTTACCGTTTACAGTAAAGCACACCGTGTAGGCAGGACTCGACCACGGGCTATCCAGTGCCTCAGGCAAATTATTTTCTCCGCACCTCCTAACCTTCCTTCTTCCTTATCCTCCCCCTCACCCTTCCCCCTCCTTTGCCCCATCTGACTCTCCTTTAGAACCGTTAAATACAAATAAACCTGATAACAAAAATGGGATCAATTGGACTGCATTTTGCAATTTGGAACTATAAATTGTGGCTCTTCTAGAAAAACACTTGTGTGCTCAGGGAAACTAATGGCACATACGTTGTTTTTAAACCGGGCTAGAATTTATAGTTCCAAATTGTAAAATGTAGTCCAATTAATATTACAAATACGGGAAAGTGCGTAATATGTGAAAAAATAATAATTGCAACGGAACGTATTCCCGATTGCGACGTTGCAATCATACTTGATTTATTTAAGAAAAAGTTAACCAACCGTTTTTCTTGAGATTTTATGTGAGTTTTTCCGCTTGTTAAACAAAGGTCTTCGCAGAAAATTTCAAGGAGATATTTTGGACTTTCATTTTAAAAAAATAAAATTTATACGGATATTTTGAAGGGCTAAATGCAGGCACGCATTGTTCGACTTTCACTGTCGATGTTGTCGTTGGTCGATGTACTAATCTGACTCACTCAAAAGGGTTGGAGGGGGAGGGGGAGAGGATTTCCGATGCTGAGGGTTGCGTCGCGTCGCTGTGTGAAGTCTCCTCATACATGTAACGCCTAAAATTTGTCTCTTACTAATTCAGGGAGGAGAAAATTTTCGAAAAATATTTACTCCACAATTTTTACTCCATGGTTATATGCAAAAACATCTCTCTCTCCCTCCCACTTGACGTGATGATGATGATAATGATGGCGTGGAATTGAGAAGAATAGGAAAAGCCCTCGGCGCAGCGGTCGGCATGTAACATATATTAGCGCCTACAAGACTGCATGAATACTTCACGCATTGCGTCAAACATAGTGCGGTCAGTAGCGGTCGACGTGAAAGGTGAAACGCATAGCGCCTACAGGACTGTATGAATACTTCACGCATTGCGTCAAACACAGTCCGTTCAGCAGTGGTCGGCGTGAAACGCATAGCGCCTACTAGACTGTAGGAATACTTCACGCATTGCGCCAAACACAGTGCGGTCAGCGCGGCGCGGCGCGGAAGTTAAAATCATAAAGCCACATCTATGTTTGTTCTTTTATAATTTTTTTCGTTTATTTCTTATAAATGTAAGGCCTCGTCCACATAGAGATAGGTTTACGGAATTTAACTTTCGCCAACAGTTCCGTGAACTTTTGCTAATAGTGTTGACAAAGCTTTCGCAAAAAATGTGTCCAACACAAGTAAACGCATCTTATGCACCCCTCCTCCTCCGGCACGTTTACTTGATGATTTTTATTGATGTTTCAAAACGAACGAGAAGGGGGCGGCAAAATACAGGCAGCCCATGGGTTGCAAAGTATGTAAATCCGGCCGTGGTAACACCCATATTCAATCGAAATCATCAAATCTGTGCTCAGATGTTCTCTTCTCTATGAGGTTTTCTAAGCAACAATTGTACCGAAGAGTTTAGTCGTAGATACAACATGCACATGTAAACACATTTGGTTGTCACACAGGAGTTGTCTTTAAGGCCTGAAGACAAAACACCTTCGTAGGGAGAGCATGGTTACTGGAAGCCTCATTTCTGATTGACGCATTCATCTTTACCATCCATTGAGTGGGAGCCACAAAATGGCGGGCGTTAAGCAGACGACTTGAAATGATTAGAACGTCTGCTTTATATTTGCTCGTAGCGTCGTAACACTCGAGTACCTACCCCTATTCGCACAGGCTGCAATAATTGACAATTATATGTTCTTATCGCCATTGTATCGGAATGCTGTGCATGTTGTCTATTCACTAATTGAAGGGGCTCTTCTTATTGATATATTGCAACTGAAGCAACTAATTTTATGAAGGTAAGAAATTTGCCCTCCAAATTGTCTACCTTTCGCACATATTGAACGCATCTCATTGAGCGTTTAAAATCGGCATTTATTGACCAAATGATGTAAAAAGATTGCAATTTCTTTGCGAAAGAAATTGACATTTTGTTGTATTGAATTGCATAATTATTTCAATATTTTCGTCACACTGTGCTACTTCTGAGCTAGACTGGGGTTCGGCTTATTTGGGGTAGTCTGAAAATGTATGACGGTCAATCTTCAATATGTTGAATTTCATGAGGAAATTTACCTACCCGAAAATTCGAATATCATAAAGTAGCTCAACGGTCTCCAAGTTAATTTTTGAGGAATTTAGTAAAATGTCCTCTATATTGCAGCAATTTATCATGCATGATTATTTGAACTCCAATATTAGACAAATTTTCACTTTCTCCGATCCTTCGGGCCATTAAAATGTTCTGAGCAGGAGTTAGTCGTTCTTTTTCCGTTTAAAACCAACTTAATTTTTGGATAATTCTCAGCATCCCTGCCCCTCTTCTAAATTGAGTGTCAAATCTGTCGGACATTAAAACTCCTAGGTGGCCGCATTCCATTCGACTCGCGCCCATGGAAAATCAGCCGCGGATTTCACCAGGGTTGCCACAGCCAGGGAATACCGGGAAATGTTAGGGAATTTTAAAAAGTCAGGGAAAATGATGAAAGTGTTCGGGGAAAATTGTTAATTCACGTTTATTTGCATATTAGAATGGGTTTGACGTTTTGAACAACAAATTTTGCCTGAACTCTATTTCAAATTATGTCTTTTCAACCATCCGGCATATCTTCCACTGTCAGGGAATTTTACGCAAATGTGTCACGGAAATCAGGGAAATGTCAGGGAATCCCTTCTTCCAAATTCCGTGGCAATCCTGCTTCACATGTTGCTCACTTTTTCGCCAGAAAAATTGATAATCCAATGGCTGCGACATTACATGTCGCAGACCATCATGATAAGGGCATTATTATTATTACTCTTATCGTACGTTTCTTTTTACTTTTTATGCTTCTCTATGATTAATGTTAAAACTAGTCAATAGATACCTTTGTTAGCATAGGTAGTGGCGACAATTGTATTTCATCAATAAAGTTAATTTAAAAAAAAAAAAAAAAAAAAAAAAAAAAAAAAAAAAATTGATCATGGATTATTGCGAGGCATTTTGGCAACAGCACAAGAGACGTTGCATGAGTTGGCGAGAATCGCTCTAGATATCGCGGAGGAGAGTTCGGAGAAGGCGGCGCGGCGACAACCTCGCGGAGATCAGTTTCCTCGGGGATCCTCTCCCCCCGTCGTAGCCCTCCCCCATCCCCCATCCCGCGAGCGACCCCTACTCATCTTTTGCACTTGGAGAACTCCGCCTCCCCGGATCGGCGGCTACGTCACGGCGAGATCCCGTAAACTTAATATTGGAACGGGAGCCTGCGGCAAGGCGGGACGGGGGGGAGGGTCGGTGTCCATTTTTGGACCGGAGGCGGGCGGCCCTGCTTCGCGCCCCGAGCGCTGAGATCTGCCTCAGTTTGAAATTCGAAAGTGCTTGGAGCGTGCATCGCCTCCCGGACCGTATCCAGATCCTTCGGTAAGTCCTTTCGCCCCTCGGGCCTTCTCCTTCTGCAGCAGCAGGTGGTCCAGGTGGCCCGCCGCATGACTGGGGGACCACCAGGCCCCCGGGCCCCCGGTCCTAGGATCCCCGCGAATCAGAACCAGCGCTTTCATCCCTTCACGGACGACCCCCGAGCCCTGACACGAAAACGCCCCAGGGAATTTTCTACTTGGATTCGGATTTTGGTTCGCTCTGCGGGAAGGATTTTGCTGTGTGCTTAGCCTCGAGAGTGAACCTCATCGTTGCGCTCAGATTATCGCCCATTAACAGAAAACACCTCCTGCAGATTTTCCCGAATTTAAGCGCTCTGCCGAGCTAACTATCCCCCCAATAAGACTATTGTTAGTGGTTGAAATTACGCCGCTGTAACAAAATACCTGAGTGCCACGGTAGGTTTAATCACTCCGAGATAACCTCACCTGGTTTATTCGATTTCCTAGTCGTAAAATAGGATCAATTTCGGAGTTATTTTCCACCGATTCGTCCACAACTTGAAACGGCGCTTTTGCCAATTGTAAAGTATTTATTTCCTTTTGTATTCGTAAACGTGTATGAGTTTGTGATGATTATACGAGCCACGAAATTGTGTAATTTTACTTTGGCGTTGACGAAAAAATCATCCCTCTGATTGAAGTCGTCGAAGTAGTTTTAAAAACGCATTCGAATGGCAATGATCCCAGCTTTAGCGCTTGTTTCCCCAGAACGAATTAAAATCAAAATTCCAAAACCTAATATTCCGGCGACCCGACCCCCCCCCACCCACACACACACACACACACACATACACCTTTATCCTTGCTCCCCAACAGGTAACTTGTGGCTTACATTTGATTCCGATAAATGATATTTTATCAACAATGGTATTTTAAATAGTCATAGTAGTACAGTATGATGGGCACTTAGCACGGCCGACGTGGGATTGTCATAAATGATGGTAAACAAGTTTACACAAACGAACGTCTGAGTTACCTGGACTTGAGAGTTACTTGGTCACAATTTCGTCTGAAGAACACGATAACCTATGGGGACAAAATGTAGACTGATCCCGATTCTGAGATTAGACTCTGAGTAGGTGAAGTATCGATGTGTCAAATGTGAAACCTCTTAGCACATTCAAATTGTCGGAAATTCGATTGAATGTAAAGAATCGATTTCAGAATGATAGAATACTTGGTGAGAATGTAGGTTGAGAGGACAAAAATTTAGCTTAAACAAACTAAACTTTATAGAGGATGTTCGAGTAAAACACATAAGTACAACTCAACTCTATTAAAGTGCGATTCGTTATTAAGGATGTTTTTCATGTTAGATTCCTTCCAGTTCATCCTCTAACGTTCCAGTTGAACTGGGAAATTGTAACTAACCCCTGTCAGCCAAGGCGTGTAACGCAGATTGCTTCCCATACATTTGAAGGCGAACTTATTTTTTCATGACTTGATACTTTTTGGTTTCCATCATTTCGTTGCTTTCCGCGGTCCGAATATTCTCATATTCTAGTCTTTTTCCATTTTCATCTACTTTTCTTCAGAAGGTTTTTTTCAAGCTGACTTTGTTCGTTGTTTCGAAATATTTTCCTTTTTTTTCAATCAGTATAGACTTCATTGCGAGCATCTGTCCAATCATAAATGATCGACTCTATGAGGTTGAGGAAACAGCCCTGCCTCATACTTTTCACATGTGTATGTTCATCGTGAAAATTGTGGTTCTTCATTATTTCCCTATCATTAATCACTTTATCTTACTTTAATAATTCGCTAGTAAGTAGATCTCGATTTTCCCTACCTTCGGTTTATCCTTCTATCACACAGCGACATAGTTTGTTGATTCGAGTTAGACATAACCGTCTGCAGCCTGGTTGTTGAAATTGATAGACAAAGCTAAAGACGAAAGGGATATGAAGGAATCCTATTGGTGGAGGCGGGTGGTTGCAATGGAATAATAGACTAACTAACGGCAACCCACGAGAGACCCTTTAGTTAATTCGTCGCTTTCTCCTTTAGTCTATGAGAACCACCAATTTCAACCAATAGGATCGCTCCATACTCCTTACGGCTTCTTTGTCTAACGCTTTGTCCATCAATTTCAACAATGAGCCCGTAGAATCAGCGTAACTTAGAGACCCCGCACGATGCTCTCCTTCCCTCAGGCCCTTCTTCCATCCCCGGTTTAAAAGTTGTCTTCGAGAATTAAATTATTCTGTGCCAAATAATGATTGATTATACCATCTCTCGTTAATAAAAACCCTGATCATCAAACAAGACCAAATTTGACAAACACGCCTCACCTACTAATTGCTCAACCTGGCTTTCGTTAGACACTATTCTCTATCAGGCATAGAAAATGATCAACATGCTAATTGATCATTATCAGGCGAAAAAAATATTGAACCTTGAAATTAACTCTCGCTTCAGCAGTTCATGGTGCCTGAACAGTCAATGGGTGGTCTTTAAAATTTTTTGTGCTAATCCTTACGATAACTCTTAAAAAATGGCACGGGTCTTTTCAAAATCTTACCTCCATTGAGAAGAAGTCCTAAGTATGTTGTGATTAGCCAATTTACACTATTGAGAATCATCCCCAAAATGTAGGGAAACGTCAAAAAATTCTCCCTAAGTCGCAACATTCTGCCAGGCTTTTAAGAACACCCAGTGGCGTGGCGTGCTTTGCGATATATCGATTGTTATGCCATTTAAACCTATAACAAAGGATCGATAAACAGGGTGTTCGCAGCGAACACCTTAATAATCGATTCTTTACCATAGGTATAAATGGCAGAACAATCGATACATCGCAATTCACGCCACGCCAGGGAGCGCTCACACGTTGCCGAACGTTCTCCAATATCGTAATTGTATTTGAGAGGAAATCTGATACTCTCAGAGGTACCAAATTAAAAAAACGGCCAACATCTCTTGCACAACAAATAATTCATAAGTTTTCCAATAATCGCATTTTCAACTGAAGAAATTTGGCAATGTCTGAGTATTTAAGCATGTTTTATTGAAATACGATGAAACATTTTCAAAAATTCCCAGAGAATAATCCATAATTTATCGGCGGAAATTTGGCAACTTCCAAATACTGCGGGGGCGTCAATAAATTACATCGTTGCCAGGTCGTGCGTTGCGAGCAAAGCATGCGCGAATGAAGAAATTAAATCTCTAACATTAAACGCGTATAAAGTTAATCAATCCATATTCACCGCGTTTTAATTAATGCAGATGGAACCTGGAAGTTTGGCGACAGAGGGAGTTAGTGAACTTGAAATGTAATGAGTTCAATACTGAATTAGCTCTCCGCCTTATCACTGCTTTCGAACTTTGGGTAATTGGATGGGTAGGGAGAGGTAAGCCGATCCTCTTGCTCAGTGACGCTTCTCTTAGCTCTCTCTCTTTGGGATAATAGATTTTTTTTTTTTTTTTAATAGAACTTGAACTAATATTGCAAAACGGTTCGTCCACTCTCTGAAATTTTGCAAGGAAAATGTTTGCACGGAGGAAAGTTAATTTATAATTCTGACACATAAATTAATAAGATAAAAATTAGCGAATAGGCAGGCGCAGAAAACCTTCCCTAAAATGATGGCGAGTTGTAGGATTCCACAACTTCCTCAACCGTTTATCGGGGTATTTTGTACTTGGCCAATTTTCATTGCATGTGTCCTTTGAATTTGATGGTGGAACTAAACAACACTTTGGTTTGCATCATTTTTTCGTTGGACTGTGGCTCACTACCCCTTCACGCTTCGTAATACACCATAGCGTTTACTTGAGCACAAATGTATCATGTTGAAGGGGCATCAGTGCATCATCTAAAATTTAACGTTTTTTAGTGAGAAAGGTGAGTCCATTTTGTGTTGGTATGTGGAAAATTTTCTAGATTATTTGAAGTTATGGCGCTCCACCCCTCTTCAGAAAACTCAGCCTCCGCTTAACCACTCTCACCCCAAAGAAGGAATCATTCATACCGTTTTGATTATTCAAAACGTATCTAAAATTCGACAAAAATGACGTCCTGTGGCCAATACTCATAAATGATTTTTCCTCCCATTTGGATCCATTATAATTAATTGACCCGCAATGAAACAGCGTATCTCGATGATTTTCGATTATTCTTCGTGTATTGAGATGGACATATCCCCATAAGTTTAACCTGCGAGGACACTTCGATGTCAAATCTATACAAAAGCAAGGGTCTCCATTGCGGTGTTTAAACATTTCCGCCCAATTTTTTTTCAAGAAAATATTTGGTGACTTTTTCTCGCGAAATTTGTAGAAAGTATTCTCGGAAGAACGAAGAACAATCATACGCAATTTTGTGCAAAAACAACGATCAGGTTCTCCTTGAGAAATTAAAAGGTACGCACCTTGAGGTACGTGCTTTCATTGTCCTCATTATCGATTCAGGGGTCTTCTACCACAAAAATTCGCAGTTCGCGGATTTGCCGTTTCCGCGAAAGAGATTTCACCAGTGTTCGAAACTCACAGGCGCCACCGCGCCAAATGCGCCTAAAAAATGAAGGTTCTGCGCCAACGTGGCCCTTAAAAATTGCTCCCTAAAAATCTGAATTTTCATATCAGGTGATCATTCGAAATTTCTAATTTTTCTTCTTCGACTGTTTGTGCTTTTTCTATTCTTCACGATTTCATTATAAGTGCTTTTGTCTTCCCCAAGTTACAGCTACTCACTAGTTCTGCCACGAAAACATCTTGCGTCTAACTTTTCATCAAATGAGCCGTAATATTTAGGCGAAAAGTCAATTTAGCCCCTAAAAAAACTTCAATGGCGCCTAAAAATCGGCCTTGATGCGCCACATGGCTCCTGAAACTCAAAGGTGAGTTTCGAACACTGATTCCACCGCCAATTTTTTCCAACTACGCACGCACACAGATAGGGAGGGAAAATAGAGTCCCTTTATACTGAGAGTCAAGACAATGTGAATCCATTTCTGATTGGTTCCCGTATTTTAGGCCTTC